AAAGAGTTGTCACCGAGCGTAGACGTTTCCACTGTTTCCAGAAATCACAGTCCACACGTGCGAAATCCCAGTCCAGCCAGCGCTCGCTCGCAATTGCAGCAAGTCATAAAGTGCGGATGCATAACACAGAGGCACAACAATAAACGCGTCCTCATACGCGTTTGTAGAAAGGTGCGTGTATACAACCCCATGCGCTGCCGGTGTAAGGAGCATGCCGGTGGTCTCGGCGTGGCCTTGGCCGGCAGAGATAGACCCTTTTCAGAATTCAGTGCCATCCCGTGTCTCCAAAGGCAGTTTCAATTACGACAGACTAATGGCGGTCATAAAACTGTATTTCTTCGGGCACTGTTTTACTTTCGTGCCTCCATGGCGGACGAGAATTTAATCTTCGATTACCTAATAAGTGTTTCTAGATTTGTTTCAGTTTCGATGGCGCGACCATAAATGGCCAGTACGAATCTGCGACCGATAAGCCCTTTCAATCAGCTTCCGCCGTCAAAAAGGCTTTAGAGTCAAACTTGCGCCGACCGAATTCTTGCACCGCAGTCGGAAATAAACGCTTACGCAGCCGTTGTACCTTATTCGCGCGTCGGGTTGTACTGACGCCTCGAACGTTCAGGTCTTATATATCCTCAGCTAGGTAGAATCATCAACTTCTCACTTCATCAAGTCTGTTTCGTTTTCTGTGTGCAAAACAATTCCATGTAAAACAAAGCGCACAAAATAGCGCAAAAAATACTGTTCTTTTTTTCTTTTTATGGTGTGCGACTAAAGCTTTGTCAGATTCAATTACACCGGTACCTAAAAGTCGATAACCTTCCCTTCTACTATGCGCAAATAAACGTGAACGAAACGTGTTGCCTATTTCCCCCATTCAACGACGTACTTCTAGACTTCTGGATTTCGTGCGCACTATTTCGCGCAGTCGTGTGGACCGGCGTTTTAGAACACCGGTCTAGTCGGCTGCTTCTCTCCGGCGGACGATTACGTTGACTGCGGCAAAAAGAGGCGGAGGTTGTCGAAGATATTGCGCGCCTTTGTGGTCCCACCGCGCCTCCGTCAACGTGTACGCATCCTCGCGATGAAATCCGGGGAAAAAGGGAAGTATACTCGATCCCGTACTGGTTATCAACTCGAGAAAAGAGTTAGTTTCGCGCCCTCACACGCGGTGCAAAGACGTCCCTAAGCTGTAGTCCCACAGATCATACACAGCAGAGTTCACGCGGTGATCGTCGCGGACCCTGTGACAGAATACATGCCTTGCACGTAACGTCATATGGTACTATAGGAAGTATTCACCGGACGCCATATTTGTGGGTGCTGTTTAGAGCGCATGCTCAGAACGAGCCCACATCAATAGGCTGCTAAGATAGGCACTTCTGATGGTGCGGAATGCACGTTGCAAAAGAACTGTGGAACCTCGCCATCAGCACGCGCTCAGCATTCGCGCACACAGCTATGGCCGCCAGTGAATACACCCTGTACAAGCCGCCATTGCTCCGTGGCATGCTCATTCGCCCGTACATTCTGCAGCATATACATTTCGTACCATCGAATTTGTTCTTCTCGCCAATCCTTGCCCAGAAGAACAAATTCGATGGTGCCAAATGTATGCTGCAGAAGGTGTGGGCACGGGAGCATGGTACGGAGCAATGGCGTCTCATGTGACGTCAACGCAAGCTGCACAGGCTCAGTCATGTTCCGAGCATGTTTACTTCGTAGGCATGTACGCTTCGCACGTGTCTGCAGACAGTTTTCGTACGACCAATGGGACAAGGCTGTCGTACGAGGAAAAGAAAGTGTCTGCAATCTGTCTTTTGTACGATGTGCTGACAGTCTGACGCGGCTTTACGGTATTGGGTTGCTGGAGACAACACCAAGGCCATTTGTGATCGAAGAGGATACGTATCGATAATATAACAAATATGTGATCCGAAATGTTTGTTTTAGTATAATACGAGAATAGCACTATAAACTGGTTCAAAACACACACAGTTACCTTCCATCAGAAAGACTCTTTTTGTAAGATGCGACATTATCATAACCGAATAATTTACTACGGGAATACTGGACACTCTACTCGTTTTTTTTTTTCTTCTTTATTTTTTTTGCGGATAACATCTCCGTAGAGAGAAGGGGGGGGGGGGGGGGCAGAGAAAAAGGCTCGATGCCTGACAAAACCTTACCCCCCCCCCCCCCCCCCCACCTCCTTTGCAGTTTAGAAGTACAAACTAGGAACAGTAGATAACATTCTGTGCGAAAAATGAAACGAAACGAGGCATATCAATACAAAGCATCGATTACATTAAAAGAATGGAGCGTTTCTCATAAAACGAATATAGAGGGGCAAAAAAGTCGTATTTTTCGCACAGAATGTGGGGAAAACTTATAAGCATAGCTAGCATGGTTTCGCACTGCGGGTGGAATAATGGTACCGTCACGTACCCGAGGGCGGAGGTACGATCAATTCTTATAGCCGTCGTGGTTGGCGTCGTGGATGCCACGGACGACTGCCACCAGAGATCCGTGAAGTAAGCGGGTAAGCGAGGTGGAAGTTTCTAAGACCATCCAACATTACGCGTAGCAACCGGATACTGCCAAAGAGAGATTTCGCATAACGCCAGTAATGTTTGAAGACAAGTCTGGGACCCCTTTCGGACTCCCGGTTCGAGGATTTTTTGGGTGGAAGATTTGTGGGCGTTGTACAAGCGCGCTCAAGCATTCCGCCCACTCATCTTCCACTCAAGAAACCCTCGAACCGGAAGTCCGGAAAAGGGTTGGCGGGACGCCAGGGCTGCCCTTTTCGTTCTCTTCGTGAGGCAGCGCGAGCGGGAAGCGGGAAGTCCCGACTTCCCGCTCCTCGTGGGCAAAAGGGAGAGGAAAGAGGTTATTCCATTTCGCGCGGCAACGACTGGAGACAAGGTCGAAATCTCGGCGACCTGTCGCCCGTAAAGTTAAGAATACAATCTACACAAAACAATAAAACGTTTCGTCTACCTCTGATGCAAAGAATTACAGAAACTGCTCCATCATTATTCTCGCATGAAGGATATGCAATCCATACCATTTCGGCAGAAAAAGGATCGGGTTAAATTGGTCCACGAAAAGGGTAATTACATAAGTACTACATGCCCACACAATACCGCTCACATAAAAGAAACTTTCATTATACAAAAGAAAATGCAACATCACCTGTAACCAACACCCCTCTGCAATGATTTTTGAAGCTATAAAAAGACTGATCAAAGTTTATGTTTATGTCTGTTCTGTCTGGAACTTGCATTAGGCACGACGACAGCCGCGCCGAATCCTCCCCTGGTGGAGTGGTTCATTTGGCGACGCCTATCGCCCGTGAGGGCGCCACGAGAGCGCTGAACAACAGCTGCAGTCAGTCAAGCACCAGAGCTCGAGGTCGCTGCTTTGAACCGTTCTTAGGCAGAATGAACACTCGCGCTAGAAATGCAGCTCTCAAAGGCAGGAGCGCTGGCTAGCCAAACTCCAAATTTATTGAACCTGCCCTTTTTATTGTTAATATTTACTGCATGGAAAGTGATTGTCAACTGTGCCTATCGCATGACCGTGTGCACTGAGGTTTATGTTTTCTTTTGTTATATTATTTTCTTTGCGTACAAAAAATAACACACGCAGCATCTGTCGTGTCGCACGCACGAGCTATGTTGACTTGTGTAGGTTTAAGCTGTATTATATTCAACGGCAGAATGAATAAGTACGTGTTGTATTGTACTATATTGTATTCACCAGTGTTCGTTTGCAAACAAGCTCACTTCCATCCACTATCGGCGGACCCCCAAGCGCTTCCGGGTTTTCTCTCGTTTTATTCTTGTTTCGCGTTCTTTTGTTATTTCTGCCGCTCCCATGCAAACAGGTTTTTACGAACGCGACAAAGAAAAAATCGTCTTACACGATGGCCGTGCGTTGCTGAAGAGGAGATGAATACACTACCGAAAGTCAACTGGGCAAAAAATACTTTGACACTCTTCTGGTATCTTGCAGCTACCGCCAGATAAAAGTAAATTGTAATGTTCAAAATGTTAAAAAAATGGTTCGGTTTTAAAAATTAGCTACGCATCGCCAAATGGTCATTCTTCGTTCAAATGTAGCGCTAGGAGTACGAACCAGATGGCAAAGTTTCAGAAGAAACCACTGTCTTATTCAAAAGTTACAAATAATTCTTCGGAAATTTCAGTGGGAAAATGGTGGCCGACACAGAGCAGTCGAATGGCACCAGTTACCAAGAAGGGGCCCCATTTTCCAATTGAAATGTTTAGAAAATCACATCACTTTTGAACAAGGAAACGGTTAGTTGTGGAACTTTGACAGCTGGTTCAGACCTCTATAGCGCTCCATTAGGGCGAAAATGTTAGCAATGCGTCCTACATCTAAAAACAAAAACAAAAAAACACTCAATTTTTAGTTTTTTTTTTTTTTTTTTTTGAGGGGGGGGGGGTGGGGATGGTTGTATTTTCTTTTTCAAAGGTAATGCCTAGATTTGGATGAATGGTACTTGCCCCTCTAGACGCCGATAGGCTGTTTCCAAAGGCGCCTGCGCTTGCGCCCACACAAGTTGTGAGCAATGTGTGTGCGCAGAGACCACATTCGCGTGATGTGAAGCGTCTGTGCACTTGCCATACCTAAAGCGACGCCACACAACAACCCCCGGAAGAAAAGGCCTGCGTGTTTTCCCCCAAGCGTCATCCCTAGTGGTTTCACGCCGCACTGCTTAGCTCGCTTCAGCATCGGCGCCACCGCGTCTTACAGCGTGTCACAATGAGCGGGACGCTAGCTGGTGGCGACGCCTAGACGGACACGTCTGCCGCCTTCCGGCGACTCTCGTTAAGCTTCAGCGTGTTTGCCGCTTGAGGCGGGTCGAGCATCTACTAACGATGACGTCATAAGCGGTCGTGAACGGGCCTCGGCTTTTAGAGTGGTATGGCGTCAAAGCAGCGGCCCGACGTCCGAGCCAGGCTTTGGTCACTCACCGGCGTCGACGAGTTCCCTGACCAGCTGCCGGGTGTCGGCCGACTGGTCGTCCCACCAGCGGCTGAAGAAGCCCATCTCGACGTACGTGAAGCGCCGCTCCGGGTTGGCCTGCAGCTCGCGCACCACGGAGTCCAGGATCGTCCGCACGTCTGCAAACCCCAACGCAGGAAGACGGCTAAGAATAAACTCGCTTGATACTTCTTTTACAAGTAACGACAACCAATACAAATGACAAAGCACATTCCACTGGAACAAAAGGGCGGCGTTCAGTTCAAACGTCTGCTGTGCACCGCCATTCGCTTCCTAAAATCTGTATACCGTCACGCAGTCGGCGCTTCAAAGAATGTCGCTACTTGTAGGAAGCTCTGATCTAGGGACTTTAGCTTACAAGAAACGCTAGACTTGGCGCCTTTTTTTTTAATTTGTAATGAACGTGCTTTCGAGGCACCGAACAAACTAAGGTATTTTTCAATGGGATACACTCACTGAATACATCGCCCAAAAGACAGTCTGCACACTCTGTCTGAGGACGGTAGTACTCAAAGTGTCCGCATGTATGAAGCACGGGTGCTTCGAGTATGCTTCAGGTGTCCGGTGTAAAGAGCGTGGCTGTGTTGCAAATCCTACCTAAATGGGTCCGAATTACTCCGGCGGGGGTCGTGTCACGTGACGACACAGAAAAAAAAAAAAAAAAAAGCCGGAGGGCTTTAGAAAGCCAAGGTACAAAACGTTTACCCCGGAGTAAGATCAAGTAAATGTAGGAACGAAGCCCGTGTCTTTTGTATGCTGTACGAGCAGAGCGACTTTACTCAGAAACACGGGGAGTGACGAGATACTATAGCATCTCCTTGTCATTCCTTAGGCAGTCAGACTGCCGCATCCGCCCATGAGAACGTCCAAGAATAAAGTCCAATGACGGTAGGCCCCGCCCCGAGTTTCTTAGTCCGTCCCTGACTATATCATTTTTTTTCGGCAGCGTCTCTTTTGGCACAAACAAAAGAAAAGAAATTGGTAATAGAAAAGAAAAGAGAAAGACAAAAAATATTGGGATGGAAATAAGGGGAAGAAATAGAGTTTCAGCAGACCGTTCCGATATCTCCGACACCCCCGACAACGATACCCAATAAGGATACGATGCATGCGCAAAGGCGGCGGCGGAGTACCGGGTATCGTTATCGGACTCACCGGAACGATCTTCTCTAATAAAAAGATGAAACTCGGGAGACTGGCGTTTCCCTTCTCAATGCTTCTACAATGTGCGAGTTGAAACCGCCATTCGTGTTCTGAATGAGCGAGAGAAAGGGAGGATTGTGGGCAGAGGGTTCCCTCTGGGTGCATGACCTCAACGAGCCAGTATCCCGTAGCGATGGAGAAGAGTGCAAACCAACGCCATTCCTCGGCTATCTTGTTGTACATCGAACCGAGGACATCGGTGTGCCCCTCCTTCTTCCAGCGTGCGTCTTCCGATCCGCCGACTCCGTCGTGTGTGTTCTCGCCCCGCGTCGGATCGGACCGACGAAAGTCTGCGGTCCGAGAGCGACCCGTGTTTACCGATGTCACGGTCGCCGCCGACCCCCCGCCGCGACTCCCAGAGACAGCCCCTGCAATCTCCCGAACTCAGCCAAGAGACTGACTCGGCTCTGCTTTTTCGTACTTCGAGATTTTTAAAATGCACTGCCAGAATTTTTTTATTGCTTTGTGACGCGATTTCGGGTGAAACTGGAATCCTAGACCGAGCTAAAAGAAATGCGTCGGTCATCGATCTCAGTTGCGCACGGGAATATGACGAAGACCGAGCGTGGACCTGGGGAGTGGCCGAGGATTTGATTAAACTCGCAGAGGTACCCGAGTTTATTGCACCCTGCTCATACATCATATACAAAAGACAGTCTGCAAACGGATTCGAACCCGAGTCTTCGCGATATCCGTGCTTCGAATGCCGCACGGCAACGAGATCGAGGAGAATCTTTGCACGCGGCATTTGAACCACGGATATCGCGGTAAATAATGTCTGGAGACTGTCTTGATGCACAAGCAGTACGCCCCCCGCTTAAAGACACACTGTACACCACGCAAATGAAAGGCACGGTATTTGCTGCAGACACGATGACATCTCAAGCATGCTCCAAGCATGTTTGCTTCCTACGTGCTTCGAACACGTCTGCAGACAGTTTTTGTATGATTCTGCAGACTGTGTATTAGCAGCGGGAGTGCGGCTTTAGGTGGTGCTTTGACTTTGCGGCATCCTTGGCTCAATTTCACATAGGGTTGCAAATTCGGACAGCTCATAAATGTAGCGGGAAAATTCGGATAGCTCATAAATCTAGCAGGAACCCCCCATTCACACTGGAAGCGGATCCGCGCTCGCGAAGCGGTTGCGAAAGCGGTTGTATAAAGACCCAGTGCAATTGCACGCGCATTTGATGTCATCGTGTGCGCGTGCAATTGTACTGAATCCTTATACAACCGCGTTCGCAACCGCTTTGCGAACGCGGATCCGCTTCCAGTGTGAATGAGCCCGAAAAGGGGCCCTGGAGGTAGCGAGCTCAAAATTTACATCCAAGTTGTATTTCAGTGCTCTAAAATTGGGTAAACGGATATCACCTATAGTTAAACGAAGGAAAATGCGCAAATGCAAATGCTTACAGATACCCACGCCCACGATGCAACGCGCGTCAAGCCGAGAGAGCCGACGTTCTTTTATCGGCTGGGGTCGGGCGTGACGCCCCGCAGCGGACCTTAATGGACGTTACGGAGACCGCATCTTTATTTTGTGAGCAAACGCGCAGAGTCGTTGCGCAACATTTTGTTTTTTACGGCCGCGCCGTCCATCTGGTAGAAACGGCTGGTTACGACACGCGGCTTCTGTTGGAAAATCGTTGCAGGAGGCTCTTTTCCTCATGGTACGTCTTGTCTTACGTAGAAAGTCCGCACGCGGTACAAATTTCCGGGGATTTAACAGCGCCGGTGCTTTCCCAGAAGTGCACGCGCTCGGAAGCTCTCTGGTGTATCCTGGTGCGATTCACTCGGCACCCCTCTAATCAGACCTTCTTGCATTAGGTTATATGTGTATATGTCGTTATTTTACGATACTTGCTGCACACCACGGGGGTTGAGGCTACTAGCGGCGAGATGTTTTAGTGACGCCCTTCTATGGCTACCTTTCGTGACGTCATTGTTTGTAAGGAGCATGGTGGAAGGTTCAAATCATAGGGCTCTTAAAACAACGCTACCAGCACCGTCGAAATTGAAGTTCTTCCATTCCTCTTATTTCCGTCGATGAGAAATCCTTTGCTGACGTCATAGTCAGCATTCGGCCAATCGCGGAAGGCCGACCACAGCGACGCTTTCGATCGCGCACGTCGCCAATAGCAGCTAGAGGACAAGGCCATTACGTCATCGTTAGTGGATGTCCGGCCTTCCCCAAGCGGCGAACACGCTGAAGCTCAACGTGAGCCGCCACAAAGCACGGGTCTTCCTTCGACGCCGGGTGCTAACGTAGCGTTTATGCAAGACACCGCGAGACGCGCTGTTGACGACGCTGATGCAAGTTAGCAGAGGCTGCCTGGATCCACTAGTGGTGACGTTTGGGGGGTTGCGGGCCTTGTCTTCTATAGGTGTTATTGGTAGAAGCCACAGTCAGGCAGAAATTCCCTTTGTCTCGACCTCCCTACCGGGCTTGGCCCGTGAAACTCTAAATAAAATAAATTTAAATGAAATTAGATTTCACGAAGAAACCCTCCATACAGAAGACAACTCCCTCCTACCTTTAGCGTGCAGGATTTCGCAGTAATATTTCCACGCGCAGGAAAAGAACAATTTTTGTTTGTTGCTCTGCTTTTTGATATTAGGTCTGGGCTGTGGCACTATGCAATGCAAAGCGTCATGCCTGCATTGCGTAATGCCACAACCCAGACTTAATTTTGAGGTCTAAACAGATGTTCCGCCTCATCATTCGCTCAGCTGACTTCGTAAATTGCAAAAAAAAAGATAGCTCTTTGAGTGTTTTTCGGGTAAGTAGACGCGCAGTCCTTTCTTAAAGAGCAAAAGAAACGTTCAAAGTTCGCAACACCCCTAGGTCATCTCCGCCGATGGGAGGAGCATGTTGCGAAATCAGGGCCACTGTCAGCCAACAGCGAGCGAAGGATTCTCGCGCTTCCGACCTGTGGAACCGCGGAGGGTTATTTCGAACGCGCGCGGCTCGTTGCTCGGGAGCTCACGACCGGACACATCACTCCCGCTGGAAAAAACAAACAAACAAACAAACAAACAAACCTAGTGCGCTGTTTTTGAGAAAATGTTCTCTCTCCACGAAAAATTAACATCTTTCGACTACTCCTATTGGCTTTGATCATTTACAATAGCATAAATATTTTATAGACGCTTTGCAGCAGCTGTGCATGCACGCCGCCATAACTGACCTTCAGTTTTTGTTTCCTCTTATTTCGTTTATTTCACTTCATCATTAGCATAGCAGGCCAGGTTATGGTTATCTTAGATTCAACTGTGTCCTTTTCTAAAGAATCGGCCTTTGTAGAGGATCGTCAACTAGCGTTTCAGTTGCTCGGCATCTCGGTAAGACAAGAAAATGTCAGCAATGGCGGCTGAAATTTGGCGCGTGTGTAAAGCGTCTATAAAAACAAGCGTTTGAAATCTCAACGAAATGTCGCGCTTTCATTCGTCACACGTCGTTTACTGACTGCCGGAACAATGCTCCTCCCATCGCCGGAGATAACCTAGGTCTGCTCGACCTTTGAATGCTTTTTATTGGGAAAATTGGCAGCGCATCGTTATGACTTATGGATTTCTAGAATGCTATCGCCATATTTAGGCTATCTCAAAAGCCTCCTCAGGGGCCAAGAATTCGCGCGAATTTCCGAATACTCGTTTTGACAGCTATTTGAAATCAATGACATTCTGATTATCAAACACCAGTTTCTTGTGCTGATTATGTTTTACACACTACACTCTAAGAGAAGCGCGTGCGTCTACTTTCCCGCACAACACTCGAAGAGCCAATCACAGCAACTTACGGTTGCCACTCAGCGAATGACGCTGCCAAAACATATGCTTAAAAAAAAAAAAAAGCTGATTGAGGTGTGACATTAAGCAATGCAAAACGTCACGCTCGCATTGCTTAATGTCGCAA